TATCTTCCCTCTCCTGAAACAATAGAGGTAGGTAAATCAAAAAAAAAAAAAAAAAAAGAATCTCCCTCGTGCTCCCTCTCCCAGTGTGACACACCCTTCTTGGCATGCATCACTGTTCCAGCATCTTGTGCTTTCTTCCAGATGGAGTCTGGGCCTTAGAACTTTACGTGCGATTATATACATATATTTTATCTAGTGGCTGGGTTTTTTTTTTTTTTTCCTTTTACAAAAATAGCAGCAAATCTCTAGCGTGCTAATTCCACGAGGCAGGATTGTGTGTCTGTGTGTCTGAAGGTATATTCACGGCACCTGTCACTTAGTAGGTATTCAACAGACACTTATGAATGAAAAGGTGTTTGTTTCACATGTTGCTTTCTTTGTTTTTTTTGTTTTTGGTTGCTTTCTTTGTTTAATATGTCTTGGAGACATTTCTCATGTCAGTGCCTGGTAAGTTTCCTCAGTGTTTTCTGACAGTTGCATAAAATAGTGCATTTGTGGATGGACCGTCTTATATGGAACCAGTCTTATATTTAACCAATCAAGGGGAATATTTTAAGCTTTTTATTGAAGCAGACAATTCATACATAAAAGGAAACATCCTAACTGTATGAGGGGCCAGAAATTTTCTCAAGGTGAACACACCCGTGGAATCAGCACCCAGATTTTGTTTGGGGGAAACAAAAATATTAACAGCCCCCCAAAAGCCCCTCATGTCCAGGGAGGGGCCAATCAGTATTGTTATTTTAGGTTTAATTATTCTGTGGTGAGAAACATCACATAAAACGTACCATCTCTTTTTTTTTTTTAAGATTTTATTTATTTGACAGAGACATAGTGAGAGAGGGAACACAAGCAGGGGGAGTGGGAGAGGGAGAAGCAGACTTCACGCTGAGCAGGGAGCCGGAAGGGGGGCGGTCCCAGGACCCCGGGATCATGACCTGAGCCGAAGGCAGACCCTTAATGACTGAGCCACCCAGGCACCCCTAATGATTACCATTTTAATCATTTGTAAAGTTGTACATTTCAATAGTGTTAAGTATAGGGGTGCCTGGGTGGCTCAGTCATTTAAGCTTCTGACTCTTGATTTCAGCTCAGGTCAGAATCTCAGGGTCACCTGAATTCAAGCCCTGTGTTGGGCTCCATGCTGGATGGAGCCCACTTAAAAAAAAAATAGTGCTGGGGCGCCTGGGTGGCTCAGTCGTTAAGCGTCTGCCTTCGGCTCAGGTCATGATCCCAGGGTCCTGGGATCGAGCCCCACATCGGGCTCCCTGTTTGGCGGGGAAGCCTGCTTCTCCCTCCCCCCACTCCCCCTGCTTGTGTTCCCTCTTTCGCTGTGTCTCTCTCTGTCAAATAAATAA